CCTTCAACATCTTCTGCTTTGATCTCTCTTTCCTTCACCCCGCCGTCGCGTCAAGCTATTGAGGTATGTGGCACTTTTGAAGATGTGTTTTGTGACTTGAGAGAGGCCGTCGCAGCCATGCTGCTTCACCTCTATTGTTTTCCCTGGCCCTCAGCTAGTCTGGAAGAAGCAATCATCTTGGATATTCTATGTCGCAAGATGATACGCTTCTTTCCTCAACCGGCACGGGTCAAAGAACCCCACTGCTGAGCTTTCATGTTCGCGGTTTTCTGGGGCACTCTTTGCGCTCGCTTAAAGACAGTGAGAGGCTAACTATTTGGAAAATACCGTATCATCTTGACTCCTTCAGCTGAAAAGGCGAAGGAATCAAGGTTTAGGTATTTTTTTCTTTTTCCCCTTTTTTTCTATAGATACCTCATTTCTACTATTCGAACGACTTGAGAATCTCAATTCTTCCCTCCTCAAATCAATCAAAATGGTCCGCACTTCTGTCCTCAACGATGCGCTTAACGCCATCAACAACGCCGAGAAGGCTGGCAGACGCCAGGTCATGATCCGTCCTTCTTCCAAGGTCATTGTCAAGTTCTTGACTGTCATGCAGAAGCACGGTATGTCGACACAAATCTATGCTCAACAGTCCATCTATCACAACCAACCGCATCTTGAGCAAAAGGAAATGCGACTTGAAAAGATCTTCGCCCGTCGATTATGAAATGTGATCGCCATTTCTTCGGGTTATAACTGGGCGGCAGTCTCGATTTTTGACCCTACGGCGTTTGCCTTTTAAGTTCCCGATATATTGAATATTTTTTCTCTCTCTTTCCTTCTGGAAAAAAGAGAAAAATCCACGGCGAAGATCTTACAAGTTTCCTTTCCTTTTACTCTTAGTTGTGGAAGGTAACCTTTAAATTTTCGGCACATCCAACTAATGCTTTTTATTATTCAGGCTACATTGGCGAGTTCGAGGAGGTTGACGACCACCGCTCTGGCAAGATCGTCATCCAGCTCAACGGCCGTCTCAACAAGACTGGCGTTATCAGCCCCCGCTACAACGTCCAGCTCCGTGACCTCGAGAAGTGGGTTGTTAAGTTGCTTCCCTCTCGTCAGTTCGGTTACATCGTCCTTACCACCTCTGCTGGTATCATGGACCACGAGGAGGCCCGTCGCAAGCACGTTGCTGGCAAGATCATCGGTTTCTTCTATTAGACAACTCTAGCTAGTATTTGTCAGTGAAAGCGGACAAATGATAAAAGTTTGAGGTGTTTAACTTGTCTTGTCTCTCTTTCTTTCGCGTGCTGTAGTGGTTATGTGTGATGTATATCGTAACGTTGTAGCTATAGATATAGACTATGACTTGATGAGATCTCACGACTTGCGAATCGTGTGATTGTTTGACCCCTGACGGTCTTTTGTCTGCAAAGGTGATCCATTATTTGCATGGATTTGACAATCGAGGCACATCACTCGACAATTGAATTGCCCTGAACGCCTATATACACTGCCTTGAAAATATCTTCTAGTCGCGACTATGATCCTGACTCATCCATCTAGGTAAGACGACTCCCTACTCAGATAGTAATTGTCCGACTTCGACTCTTCTCCTTTATCGGAGGAATAATTCATTGCATGGCCCGCTCTGATCTACGAGGCGGAATTAGATTCCCCGTCTCTCTGTTGGATCTATCATCGTTGGGGGATGAGCTTGCGATACAACTCTACGTCTCAGAGAATGACAGCAGCAGCAGTGAGCCGAATAGCGTTTGTGTTTCGTTCTTCTATCTCCCTGTGGACGCACGGACGGCCACTATGTATGATGACATTTCTTGCTCTCTCCAGAGCAACTTTGTGACATGAGGAGCAGAATTGCTGATATTCTATCTTTCATCTCGAGTCCTTAAACCTTGAAGTTCTCTATCATCTTTCATCTTGATTATGATCGTCATGACGGATTTGTAATGGTTAAGCGGTCCAGACAAAACAAGCTGATCAAGCACACACACGCTGGATATGATGCCCCGATTAGAATTGGGTGAATCGCATTTCTACGACCCGGCACATTCGGTAAATATCAAGCAGTGGAACCCTTACGAGATCAATTTTTCTTTATAAGCACCTCACGCTGAAAGACTAAGGCAAAAGAAAGAATGGCGATTTCACATCCACAGCAACGGATCACAGCAGTAGCGGAGGGTACGGGGTATTTGGATGGCAATTACTCGGCTTCTGGTCTAACCTGTATTCGGTCTCCTCCGTGTGGCCTTGTCGCAAACTGCAAATCAATTTCAAGAAGCAGAAGGAATTTAACCATAACATTTACGCCCCTCCCTTCCCCCTCCACCCCTCTGACCTCATCGCTACCGTCGAGTCTTGTGAAATTAACCGGCCGAAGACTATGATGTCCCCATTCTCGGCACCATTTCGCATAGCTTTACGAATCACAGGGCAAACGGGGGGGTCATGTAGCAGGGTCCAGAGCTCAGGCTGAAGAAGGGGAAAGGTTGGGGGTTTGTCTGCTACAGTGAGCGGCGTTGCTTGATTGCAATTCGTCTTGATCTGCACAGCTTCTCTTATCAATCTGGAGTATTGCAAGAGTAAAGAATGGTTGAGGGCAGAGAAGAGAAGAACCAGAATGACCTATTCCTACGACAGAAAGGAAAAGCGTAGAAGACACACAGATTCTGAGTTGATCTACAGCACACAGAATCATTCCGGACACCATCGATGAGCTCACAGTGCACCGTCAGGCAAGGAAGCAAGCAAGTACGCAGCGCAGCGCAGTCAGTGAGCGGTATACGGCGAGATACCGCTTCGCAGCAGCAATGGTAACCCCAGGCCTTGTCATTCGAGGTGCCTCGTGCTCGCTGCTACCACAAGTACTCGTGCCACCATCAGTAACATCATCAGTACGGCGGTTTACAAGTCAGATAGCCCCAGGGGGAAAGGGCCCCAGCAAGTCAGACATAGGCAGCATCACCTGTGGTCTTCGATGCCCCTCGGTTAGGCCGTGCAAGTCACCCAGAAGTCAACGACGAGTCACCCGTGGTTGTCCCTGTAAGCAAAGGTTCCAGGCTTTGCCTCCCGGAAGCACCGAAGATGAGAGAGAAGAGTTGCTGTATGAAGAGAGAAGCGCGGGGGAAACACGAAGAGGGAGAAGCTGGCAAAGATCAGTGGCATTCTAATATGCTTTTCTGTGTATTCATTTCATCTTTACCTGGGGTTTAGTGACTTTCATATATAAGACCTGATACCACGCCTTATACGCTGATCCCTAGAGCACCTAAAGTACCCTTTATCTGCCTTAGATACCTACTGTATTATACTATATTCGCTGCTTCTCGCTGTCTACAGCATATCACCATATCATTCTCTCTCGACGCATTCAAGGAGTTTTCATATCAGCATTCCGCCTTGCTGTGTCTGGTTGCTGATTACTGCTGATCGGCTTAAGGTTGTGCGAACGAGGAAGACATAAACTCAATACAGGGCGATAAAAGTGCTTCTTTTGCCCGTCTCTACTCTTGTCTGTCTGTTGTGTGCTGTTCTGTGCTGTGCTTCGCTGCGCTGCTCGACCCACCATTACTGCTAATTAGCACCATCATCAGCACGCCTACAGAACCGCCTTGAGGGTGCCCTGTCATCTCCGTACAGAAAATACCCGCCTTTCCTCGCTCTCTCCATATTTCTTTCTCAACTATTCCTCTCTTCCTCGTCTTTTTCTTCTTCTTCTTCTTTATTATCTTCATTTTCTCCCGGCTCCCTCTTTCTCTCTCATTTTCCATTCATTCTCACTTTCTTCCGTTTCTTTTGCTCGGTTTACGATTCTCCCGCAGATCGTTGGTATTGACCCCTCCCTCCCGGCTCTCATCCCGCTCCTTCTTCCGCCTCTCCCCTTCCTCTTCTCTATCTACACATCAGACTCTCTAATCACAAATTCGCAATCAGAACAATTTACTCTTTACACAGCTCAAAATCATTCATCATGGCCGACACACTTGTCCAGGAGTCCGGCTCCCGCGAGTCCAGGTTAGTTTTTTCCTCAGCGTCGTGCAAAAAAATGGTTTCTGCTTTGTCCATGGGCACAGTGCCGTCACTGCCGCCACCTTTCCTCTCTATATGCTCGTCCAGGCTCGAGGGAAGTTCAATCACTGCAGTGAGAGAATGTGTGAAAACTACGTCGTCGACGCAGTGGCTTTGTCCATATTCCTTCATTCTGCTCGATGCTCGATGTAGCGTGCAGTGAAATCACATCTCCGCGGAGCCACGGCATTCCGTTTTACCCTGGCATATATGTACTGGATGACGTGCAAGTTCCCCCTCACTGACATGGTGACTATTGATCAGCTGCCCGGAATTGAAGGAGGACACCACCATCATTGTCCTCGGTGCATCCGGTGATCTTGCTAAGAAGAAGACTGTGAGTGAAATAACCACGAGTTGAGTGCGATTGAGCTGAGCAGTGTGCTAATTTACCCCGCGATTGCAGTTCCCAGCTTTGTTCGGATTGGTAAGCTTAAGCTCAGTCACTTTGAGAGAAGCATTATGAGGGGCATTCTCCCTTCATCTGCATCTCGGATGCGAGATTTGGGGTCCCTCACTCTTGAAGACATGATATCTAACAACATTTCATTACTACAGTTCCGCAACAAGTTCCTACCAAAAGATATCAAGATCGTTGGCTATGCCCGCACAAAAATGGACCATTCGGAGTACCTCCGGCGTGTCCGGTCGTACATTAAGGTCCCCACCAGGGAGATTGAGGAGCAATTGAACGCATTCTGCAACATTTGCACCTACTATGCCGGCCAGTATGATAAGGACGAGTCCTTCCAGGGCTTGGAGAAGCATTTGGCGGAGGTCGAGAAGGGTCAGAAGAGGCAGAACAGAGTCTTCTATATGGCTCTTCCTCCTACCGTTTTCATCACTGTCTCGCAACATTTGAGGAGGAACAACTACCCTAAGAATGGTGTTGCTAGAGTCTTCGTACGTTTTTGGTCCCTTTTCTTTTTCAATCCGACCCGGAATGAAGGTCATGGCGCTGGGTGCTAACGATTATCCTCACAAAACAGGTCGAGAAGCCTTTCGGAAGAGACCTTGAGAGCTCTAGATCCCTACAGAAGGCTCTTGCTCCTAACTGGAACGAAGATGAGCTTTTCCGTATCGACCACTATCTCGGTAAGGAGATGGTTAAGAATTTGTTGATCCTCCGATTCGGAAACGAATTCTTCGGTGCTACCTGGAACCGTCACCACATCGATAACGTTCAGATCACATTCAAGGAGCCATTCGGTACTGAGGGCCGTGGCGGCTACTTTGACGAGTTCGGTATCATTCGTGATGTCATGCAGAACCGTATGTTTCCTCACATGAAATCCGGAGCAGGGAACATCACAATGCTGACAAATTTGCACTAGATCTTCTCCAGGTCTTGACACTCCTTGCTATGGAGCGTCCCATCTCCTTCTCTGCTGAGGATATCCGTGATGAGAAGGTCCGCGTTCTCCGCGGCATCGACCCAATTGAGCCCAAGAACGTTATTGTTGGCCAGTACGGCCGCTCAGTTGATGGCACCAAGCCTGCTTACAAGGAAGACGACACTGTCCCCAAGGGATCTCGCTGCGCCACTTTCTGTGCTCTCGTCGCCTACATCAAGAACGAGAGATGGGATGGTGTTCCATTCATTCTCAAGGCCGGCAAGGGTGAGTCAAGCCACTTTAACAATTGCTACGTTTGAGTAAGATCAATTACTAACGATACTTCCAACATCCAGCCCTCAACGAACAGAAGACTGAGGTCCGCATTCAGTTCCGTGACGTCACATCCGGTATCTTCAAGGACATCCCCCGCAACGAATTGGTCATCCGTGTCCAGCCCAACGAGTCTGTCTACATCAAGATGAACTCCAAGCTCCCCGGTCTCTCCATGCAGACCGTCGTTACCGAGCTCGATCTCACCTACCGCCGTCGCTTCTCCGACCTCAAGATCCCCGAGGCCTACGAGTCGCTGATCCTTGACGCATTGAAGGGTGACCACTCCAACTTCGTCCGTGATGATGAGTTGGATGCTTCGTGGAGAATTTTCACGCCGTTGTTGCATTACTTGGATGATCATGAGGATATCACTCCTTTGGAGTACCCATATGGTAAGGACTTTTCTTTTTTTCCCCTGAAGATAAACAAATGCGACAGTCGCTAATATTCATAAATCAATAGGATCCCGTGGTCCCGCTGTTCTCGACGACTTCACGTCTTCCTTCGGATATAAGTTCAGCGACCCTGCTGGGTACCAGTGGCCCGTCCAGAGCGCCGCTAGGTCGAACTTGTCTTAAATCAGACATCCAAGGAACAAAAATCCATATAGAGCTAACGGCAATCCCCGACAACAAGAAACAATCAGGGAGGTTTGCGGACAGGTCCAAAGGGGAGAAAGGAAAAAAAAAAGACCGCCTCTCAAGATTCACGTCCGGCACGAACACGAAAGAAGGAAGAAAGTTTGTCACATATTTGTTTAGATGATAGTTCTGAAACGAAATGAAATCAATTATATATAGATGATAAAGATTGAGATTTCTCTGATGCTTTCTTTTGATCCTTGTTGCAATGAATTTACGTGTGGTTCTTCATGTTTCTTGCGTGTCATCATACTGACAGAGTCAGACGTCATCCTTTACCAGACCAGACCGTAGACGTTCCTGTAAACTTTATCGGGTTAGCGCACTGAGGTACCGTGAACTACATATCAAGGATGCAGAGCGTATAACCAAGATCAAGTTGTCAACCTTTTTCTATTCAACTGCTAGAATCTTTGTAACAAAATTGTTCGAATTAACTTCCAAAAGAGCTCGCGGTGATGTCTTGGAAATCACACTTTCCTGAAGGTGACCTATGGGTTTTTGGATACGGGTAAGATTTGTTGCAATCAATGCAATAAGGACAAGCATATAAGAATGGTGCTGATGATTGCATTCAAGGAGCTTGATATGGAAGCCACCACCACATTATGGTGAGTGAGGCTGGTTGGAATTACCTTGACTTACAATGATGATGCTCATGTTTCTTATACACGACAGACCAGAGGATTCCAGGCTATATAGAAGGCTATGTTCGTCGTTTCTGGCAGGTTAGTCACCTTCAATTGGACATATTGAATATATGATAGAGAAATAATAGCTGACGACCGCTACTGTATGAGCCCGTGGGACCAATAGGCTAGGTGAGATTATACACTCTGTGACTCAGAATGAAACGAAGCAATTGAACCGCTGGTGAACATTCCAGATACTGACTCGTCCGCTACAAACAGTACTGATCATAGAGGCACACCAGAGAAGCCCGGAAGAGTTGTGACCGTCATAGAGCGATCATTCTGGGAGACTTTATCAGATCCTGTACGTCTGCCCAGATTAAACAAGTCTCAAAACACTTTTGTCAAACAAGCTATTGACGTTATTCTTTCTTTCCACGACAGCATCACTCTGCCGGCAAAGACGACAGAGTTTGGGGAGCAGCATACCATATCCCAGCCTCCCACGCTGAAGAAGTTCACGCCTATCTTGATGAAAGAGAAATTGACGGGTACTCAGCACATTTCACTCCCTTCCATCCATTCACGCAGACCGATGGAGAAAAGCGAGAGACAGTGCAGTCTATATCACCTATGACGTGCATGGTGTATATCGGTTTGCCAAGCAACCCGCAATTCCTGCGCTCGGAGAAGGAGCGGGATCCTGAGGCTGTTGCTAGAGTTATTTGTGACGGTGAAGGGCAGAGTGGGCTGAATAGAGAATATCTGTACTTGCTAGAAAAAGCATTACAGAGTATTGGACTTGGTACAGCAGATGGGCATGTTGTTGATTTGGTGGCAAGAGTTAAGAGGTTGGAAGGGTTGAGCACGACGGGTGAGGAGACAATAGAGGAGAAAGAAGCAGGATTGGAGGTTCAGCGTTCGATCGGCAATCAGAGCTAGAAGGTTTATAAGAATGATATATTGTCGTGCAGTCTCTATTCTCTATTTTCAAGGCCTCCTTGAATATATATATATATATATCGTAGCTAAGCCGTACGTATACACCTTACGATCTCAGGGGGTTCAGGGGTAAGCCATATCGCGACTGCCGCCATGATAGACAGAGCCGATATGAGACTCAAGTTATCTGATACATGATATTTCATGCACAAATCAATTGTTCTCCGAGTAGTTTGACTCACAAATAAGTGTCTGATCATCGTCTCATCATAATTGCGAAGATGTCCTCCTCCATACACATAGAGATCCAAGGCCGTCCAAGAGATAAGATTGAGCAATGGCTGTTGTCTGTGCCAGAACCCGAAGGGGACATCTACGACAAACTCATTAACAGAAGCACTTCACTCGGTCATCACAACCACAAGTCATCAAGACCGTCAAAGGAGCAACGATCAAAATCATTGAATGGCTTATTGAAAGCGACACTACAACCCTCAATTCCACCCGGCAAGACAGATCCCTTCACATCACCACAGATCGATAACGAGGGGCCACAGGACGTCAAGCGCAAACGATCTTCATTAGAAAACATGCCCAATCACTCAAATACAAAAAGGGGATTCAAAGAGTTTGGTCGTAGGGCAAGGCATAAGACTCGAGAAGACAAATACGAACCTAAGAAGAAAAAGGGCAAGTCGATGACGAAAAGCCGGAAGAAGAGTCAGGATGATGTGCAGAAGACCAAGACATCAAAACGTCCGATAAGGAGGTCGACTACGTCTATAGAAAGCAATTTTAAACCTGCGAATATTGCTCAGGGGAGACTCACTGTGAGCAAACATGAACATGAAATTCTTTCTTGAAGAAGTTACTGACGATGCTTGTAGTTAAACAATAACCTCGGTAAGGGGCTTTTTGCCAGGGGGAAGACATCTCATTCAGTGGGAAGGCTAGGCTGTACGAATATCATCTTGTTGATCCTAACTGAACATCTACTGATGATCTAGGCAGTGCCTGATCTGTCTTTTACCGACATGGGATATCTCTCAAAGAACAAGAGATCAGAAAATGGCCGCAATGAAATTCCATCCTTAACAGCATACGACGACAGATCAACAGCGAGTACGACACGCAAGTCTATCCCTGACGGTATATCACGGTTCTTTTCTGAGCCTCATCATTTAACAAGAGACAAAGCAAGCACCAAACAGGTGTCAACGGAGAATTGTCCATTGAACAGACCCAGCCAGAGACAAGTATCCGCTACACCTTTCAGAACCCCTTCAACCCATCGTAAAAGTTTGACGGTACCGAGAACAATCGAGAGTCAACATCCATCACATCATTCAGAATCTCGACATGGAGAAGCAAATGATAAGGCACCATTGCGTTCTGAATCAGCTACAGTGGTGTACTCATGGTCACCAACTGTGGCATCAGGTTCCGCACGACAACGACAACGTCAAAGATCAAGTATCAAGGAATCACCGGCTCAAGCAGACGTACTGTCCGCGAGAACAAAGTCAACACCCATGTCGACGCCGTCGCTCAACTCTTCACTGCTCTCAAGAACGCGGAAGAAGTTGTTTCATAATATATTCGTTGGTGAAGAGGTTTCAGACAACGGTTCAAATGGCAGAGTGAATTATACCCTTGAACAGCTTCAGGAAATCTCAAGGCAGTTGTCTGCAAGTCCGCACGATCATCATGAGGTCATAGACCTCACTGAGACAGCAGAGGAGCCCGTCTCCTGCAACAAACAAGAGAAAGCAGACACGCCAGGGATTGAAGAACGACCGCTTGGAGAAGCGAGTTCACTGCAACAAACGACGCATTCAACGCAGGAGGATTTGGTGGATGGTGAGAAGAGCCTTGCAAATGGCCAGCATCAGGTACCTCTGCAGAGCGAGTCTCAGAAAACAGACTACACACTCTCTCTTCCCATGAACACAGCGAAGGAAGAAGATCTGCAGCGTCGTCTATGGGGGAGACGATGTTCGCGGGACAGCATAGGGAGCTACACTCACCCCCCTGCCAGTGTCTACCCCATTATCCGGCCTTCGATGTCTCCCCTGAAGACTATGACATACCAGTCTGGCATGCCAGGTGACACACAATCTGTTACTCACGGTACAGACTATATGGAGCCTTTTGAGTTGCCTGTTGAGAACAACAGAGTTTCTTACACCACGCAGGGTGGGTTTGATGAAGGAGAAAAGATGATTGATGTCAATGCTATGGGCACTCCTGACATCCTTGATAATCTGATGGATGTTTCGATGTCACCCTCGGATTTGCAACTCCTGAACCAAGTGCTCGGAGAGCCGAATTGCCGGAATGATTCTTGTTTTGCCAGTGACATGCAATGTTGCAGTGATGATCAAGCGTATCTGGATGGAGAGTCTCAAAATGAGGCTCATGACCTTTGCAATCAAGCCTGTTACGGTAATGTGAACGGCATTCTGCAGGGAGGAGACGAAGTCGTGTCAGATCCTGTTGTGAGGGAGCGTGTAACTGCTCCATTCGGGTTTTGGCGACCGAACAAGCTATATTGAGCGTCAATTGCGATATATGTGGGAGCAAGCCAAAAAAAGAAAGAAAATAAAAGCAGAGAAGAGAATAAGATGAGAAAGTGGTTTTCAACTTCAGCTTCAAATGCAAAAATGCTTCAAAAATGTTAAAAATGATAGTGGTTATTCATTTCATGTCATATAACGAACAAACACCAATTTTCAATGTCGTTGCATCAATGGGCATGATGATTGATGCTTCATGATCCAAACTTCTCCAGAATTATAGAGGTGAAGCAGCTTTCACTAGACCAGTTGCTTTTGAGTATTGAGGCCTGACATGAACTTCAATAGGATACTTCCATTGCATAAATTTATCCCAGCCTGTTGTCTCAAGTTAGTTATATGTTTATGAAAAGGAATCGGGCACAGGGGAAAGGAAAAATACCCCAATAAGCGCATTTTCTTCCTAGATATTTCCCAACAAGAGGTATCAACGCATAATTGAACAATTGCTGCAGTTGCTCGATATTCTCATTCCATTCCTTCTCGGCATCACTGTCATCAAAATCGTCGTCGTCACTATCATCATCGTCATCATCTTCCTCTTCCTCGTCTATATAGCTGTATGCAGAGTAGTTCACTCCCAGATCATCATCACCAAAGCCATCATCCAGAGTAGCTCCGGCAGATCTGTAGTATTCTTGTTGGGAAAGGTGGACAGCCTCTATATGGGCTCGTCTTGTCTCGTCGGCGGCGGATATACCGATGTGAGTTGATGATATCTCTTCCATGTCTTCTTCTATGTCTTGTGGTGGTGATGATGCTATTGATTGGGAGAAGGATGATCCAG